TACTTTTTATTGTGGAGGAGTTGTATTCAATAGTATGGACATACTGTGGTTTGTTTAACCATTTCCTCATTGAATGATATTGGGGTTATGTTCCACATTGTGGTTATTAAAAATAAACTTACTATGAACATTAAAAAATAGAATAAAAAGCTGTTGTGTCTTTCACACTTTAGAAAAGAGGCAAGATCTAGTTGGCAAGTACCAGAAAATTCACAATTAAACGCCACATATAGGGCTCCAAAGCCAGTACTTTTTCCATTACAGCAGCGGTTCTCAAAGGTGAGTGTGTGTGTGTGTGTGTGTGTGTGTGCCCTCACCCCCTCCCTCCATGCCAGGGGACATTTGGCACTGTCTGGAGACATTTTTGTCACAACCAGGGATGGAGTGGGTGGGTTGCTACTGGCACCTAGTGGGCAGAAGCCAGGGATGCTGATAAACATTCCACAATGAACAGGACAACACCCCACAACAAAAAATTATGCATCCAGCCCCAAAGTCAATAGAGCCGCTGTTGCTAGGCGCTACCTTACAGAATGCCCCCTACCCTATTCTGATCTTGTTTCCAAGGTTTCGATGGTAACTGCTTCAAAACTATAAACAAATTGTCAAAAGCCGCAGATAAATCTACTCCTGGTTGACGCGGCAACTCGCTTCCACCATAAAGGAAAACGGACGGAGTCTCAAGACAAAAAGGGCGGAATCGGGCGGGGAGCGAGGGGCACAGCTCAGTAAGCAGAAAGGAAATGCAAACTGATGGTCGTGGTTAAAAATTAAGATGTAAACATGTAGCTGTTTTTCTCAGGATTTTCACTAGTCCAAATGTTCACGGACTGCTTTGAAAGATTGGAGAGAGAGGAAGGGAGAGGAGTACAATCACCGACGAGAGAACATCGACGGCCGCCTCCTGCACGCCCCCACTGAGCGGGCCCACAGCCGGGCAAGTGCGCTGACCCGGAATCCGACGGCCACCTTGTGGTGCGCGGATCGAGCCCACCACTGAGCCACACCGGCCGGGCCTGCTTTGACGTTTATCTGGAAATGGTTCGATGGTACCCTAATCTCAACATCTGCGTTTGACCTTTGTCCGGGACCGAGAGATGTGGATGCCAGAGGAGACCACCACCTCTCCCTGCTCTTTCCCTGCGGGGCAAGTCCTGCCAGGAGCTGGCGGCTGCCTCCCGCGGGGAGGCCGCTGGGCGGATGGCTGGCAGGACCCCAGAACGACAGACTGGCTTTCGGGGCGCTTTCCTGGCGCTGTCACTCCATCCTCCGCCACGCTACTCCGCAGTCTGGGTCCCCCGGGGGCGGGGCTGCGGGAGCACACGTCCTGCGCCGTGACGTCACAATCCCGACGCCCTGGACGCGGCCCTTAGCAACCCGCCTGGCGATGGCCTCCAGCCACTGCAGCCCTCCGCGGGCTCCTCCCTGACGATCCTCCGCAGCAGGGGCTGGCCTAGCCGGGGGAAGTACCCAAGGGGAGCCAGCGTGTCTCCTCGGCGGCTGCAGGAGGACCTAAGTATGAATGGCAGCCGAAGAGGTAAAGGGCGCCCCCTCGCGCCGGGCCTAGGGTCGGGGTCTGGGGTCTGGGTCCGGGCTGCGCGAGGAGAGGCCGCGCCCTGGGCACCCAGGTTCCCTGCTTAGTCTCCGCCGTGGCCCTGAGTGCCCGGCACTGGAGAAGGCCGTGCTTTGGGGGTTCACAGGTCCGCTTCTTGCTCAGAATTTGTCACCCTGACTCCAGAAGACCTGGTTCCCTAAATTCGGGCAGCCTTAATTACCTCGATGGCCCCGGGGCTCAGAAGCCAAATTTGGTCTTTTGGAGACAGACCTTCCTGGGCCCCCGCTGCACTCCACAGAGGTGACCCTGTTTCCTCAAGGCCTGTACCTGGCGGTGAAACACCCGTGCATTGAGTTCTTGAGGAGTAAATGCAGGTGATGATAGGGGAGGGTACATATAAAGCTCCTGGCACATTGTAAGTACTCAGTAAATTCGAACTCTTCCATTCTGTAAGTAGCTCCCTTCTCCAAAGTGTTTAGGAATCATGTTAAAATGCAGATTATGGCCCCGGCCGGTATGGTTCAGCGGTTAGAGCTTCGGCCCGCGGACCTGAGAGCCTAGGTCCCTTCCCGCCAAGGGCAGGTACCTCGGTTGCAATTTGTCCCCAGGCCGGGTTGGGGTAGTGTGGGTGGCAACCAATCATGTGTCTCTCTCACATCGATGTTTCTCTCTCTCCCTCTCTCTCTTCTCCCTCCCTCCTTCCCTCCCACACTATCTGAAGACAAAGGCAAAAAGTGTCCTCTGGTGAGGATGAAAAAAAAAGCAGATTATGATTCAGTAGGTGGGGGAGGGGCGAATTTTGCTTTTCTAATAAGTTTTCAAGTGATGCAGTGTTACTGGCTACAGTTTTAGTAGCCAAGAACTAATTTATAATCACTGTGTACATCTGTCCTTGACTGAACCCTCTGTGGGTCATGTGGACGTCACCGTGGAACAGTTGGGGCCATATAACAAGATCTCTACAAATCCTCAGGGCAGTGGAAATAATTTGTATTTTCAATCTGCTTGAACGAAGTAGCATTCTTTCTTCAAGCCCAGTAAAGGCAGTCTTTAGACCCTCCCTCCCGATTCGGTGTTATCTATTTTTTGTTAAAGTACCTTTAAACCAGGTTGCTAGATGGTTCATGTAATAAGTCTTGCTTTGAATATGATTGTGCCTTTATTATTAAATCATTAGTCAAAATAAGTGCTGTTCTGAATGTAGGAGATAACTGTCCATTGATTAGGAAACTGTATATCCTGACACTTTACCAGCCTAAGTTCCAGAAATCACAAACCAACATGCTTTTTGTGGTTTTAAGAAATTTTATAACATAAACTATCATCAAACCCTACTTCCAGGTTATCTCATTATTTGATCCACAAAAACATACTGTTTTACAGGTATTATCCTCATTTCACAATGAATAAACACTGGAGACTAATAAACATAGAGATCATAAATAACTTGCCAAGGTCACAGTAAGTGTTAGGCCAGGCTTTGAATCCAGGTGGGGAATTGTGAACCGCTAGAGCCATTGTTTTTACTTACCATCTCATGCTACAGGTGCAGGCATGGGAAAGGTTATATGTAAAATTTAGAGTCTGGGTATTTATTGAATTATTTTTAAAATTGGGTTCCTGCCAAAATGTAAAAAGGTTTATGTTTTTATAACTTACCCAATTTAATTAGCTTCATTTTTAGGGTATTATATAATATATATATTATATATCAAGCATTGTTATTGATTTTGAATTTTTAAAACAAATATAATACTCAATAAATATCTGAAGTAGTCAGTTTCTTAGATCATAATTATTATTATTGATAGGCAACCATAAGTGATTTTAGCCAGAGCCGAAATACTTAATTTTAATGGAAAAGATTGCACTTTCTAAATTTCGTAGATTTCATTAAGAAATTTACCTTTGATTATTTCAGAACACAAAATATTAAGATACCTAAGTAGAAAATTATTATCTTGTCATTTCATTTTTTAGAGGTTCTTTTGTAAGGCAAACTTTCTGTATGATGGTATGGTAGAAAGAGCACTGCCTAAAAAACAATGTATCTTGTTTGTAATCTTTGCTGTTTACTGGGTAGTCTTCAGCAAATCACTACTCCCTGGGCCTTAGTTATTTGTAAAATGGTGGACTAGATCATCTATCAGGTTTTCTTTCCAGCTTTTTAAGGACCAATGGGGAGAAAAGATTGAGAATAACAAACTGCCATTCACTCTATTGTCAGTGACTTAGGGAGAAGCAGAGAAGACAAGCTATTAGTATTGGTAACTAAAAGCGGCTTGATCAAATTTTCTTTAACCTGCTGGTTCAAAAGAGAATACTTATCCATGACATCAGATTCCCAGACTTCTGGCATTCCTGGGAAATTCTGCTTCAAGAAACGCCTTCACCTTGTGTTGGGAACTTGCACATACTGATGAATTTCACTACCCCTGGCAAGACCTTTGATCTCATTGACAGGATTTTAGTCCTACTCAGGTTAGAGGATGATGGTTTTTTTCCTGCATTTGGTTTGAGGCTACTTTTTTATGCTCCTCTGTATCAGTCTGGGTCCAATCAGAAGGTAGGAACCATAAAATTATATAAACAGTGTAAGTTTAAAGAATTGTTAAAAGAGCCCTGGCTGGTGTGGCTCAGTTGGTTGCAGTGTCTTCCAAGTATGGGAGGGAACTGATCAATGTTTCTCTCTCTCTCTAAAATTAATATTTTTTAATTTCAGAAAAGAATTGTTAAATTATTATAAAAGAGTTACCATAAGACATAAGAAATCTCTATATGGTACCCAAGAGCCAAGGGAGACTGCTCAAGGAAGGACAAATTTAGAAGTGGGACTTCCAAATAAAGACAGGATAGGATCCAAGCAAGAAGAGGAGGGTGAATTGGACTAGATGAACCTTAAGACATTTTTTAAACACTAAGTTCTGATTCTGACACGTGTGTGTGTGTGTTTTACACATAGTAACATAAGATTAATTTATAATTTATTCAGTTACCTTGTGGAAGGATTATTTTCTTAAAATTAATTTTACAACAGACTAGCCTATGATTAACTGAAATAGTTAATACATATGTTAACTCAAAATCTCAGTTCTATTATATCTCAAAATCATTTTAAAAAACCAGTAGGTCAGTGGTGTGTACAGGATGAAGTCGGTATATATCAAATAACATAACAATTGACATACTTATTATTTTACCCAGTGAAACTAAAGTCTCAAGATATAGCTGTTTGGAAAATACTTATTTTTTTAAAAGAGAAAACTTTTATCAATGGCTACAGAATTTCTGTCTGATGTATCATTTCTGGTTAGTAATATGATTGAATAAAATTCTAAACAACTCTAATATTAAAGATAAATTTACTGTTTTTTCAATGTTTAATATTGTTGTCCTTGTGAAAGTTGTGCTTTATTTATCCTAATTCACGTGTTTTTGTTAAAAGTCAGAGCAAGCTCTGTCCTTCCCAGATATGGTCCACCGTGCCTATTTAAAGGACACTTGAGCACCAAAAGTAATGGTAAGTGAGGTACTTAAAATGGTCAAAGGTTGTTTGGTAAAGATTAGCTTAATTTGTAAATTATGACATGATGAAAAAATTATTTAATTGATATTTGAACTTCATATTACTCATTATAATTATATATTGTAGGAATTCTTGAGATTAGTTTAGGAGTTTATCATTTCAAATTCTTATTGTGCCCTGGATGTGGACTTGACTGCCTCCTTCTCCCTGCTGCAGGTCCAGCCCAGCTCTACTCCTTGCTGGCAGACTACTCTGGTCTAAGCTATGCCTTCCTTGTTAAAATGCTGATTTGCAGGTTGTTCAAGACATAAGCACTGAAAAAGGAAAAGCTGTGCAGAGACACTGCATTTTGTATCGGAAACAAACACAAGCTTCTTTATTCAACTGGATTTCTAGGTCTTATGAAAGGACAATATTTTAAAGCCTTTTAAGTTTTAATGTAAACCTAAAATACATTTTTATAATTATAGTTTAAAAGTTTTAAGTCTGGGTTATTATGCAAAATAAAGTCTTTTTTTCTTCATTTACATGAAAAATCTTTGATACTTGTTCCTCCAAAGTTGAAGGCAAGATCACATTTTCAGTTACCTCACTTATTTCTTTGTAACAAAGTATATCTACACATAGAACCAGAATCAAACTTTGAAAAATCATTTTTAACTAAAAATTTAAAATATGTTTATGGAGAAGACCAGGATGAAAAACGATATATAATTTTCTAACTATTTTTAAAGAATACATGTGCAGTTATATATAATGGTTGTAAATATGAGGCTACCTTAGTTAACATCTAAACTGCATCCTTTATCAAGCTGTGTGATCTTGAAGACCTTATAACTCTGTGCCTCAGTTTTCATGTCTATTAAATGGTAATAATGAGTTTTTACATGTGAAGAGCTTAGAACAATGCATGCATGGTTCCTAGTCAATAAATGTTTGTAGTAGTGTTAGTATCAAGCTTATCATTATTGTATATTCTTTTTAAAAAATGTTTTTATTGACTTTTAGAGAGAGAGGAAGGGAGAGGTAGAGAGAGAGAGAAAAATATCAATGAGAGAGAGAAACATCAATTGGCTGCCTCCTGCACATCCCCAGTGAGGATCAAGGCTGCAACCCGGGCATGTGCCTTGACAGAGAATCAAACCTGAGACCTTTTGTTTCATGGAACGATATTCAACCAACTGAGCTACTCCAGCCAGGGCTTGTATATTTTTATATTATGTGTCAAATTTTCCTGGAAGGATGCATTAAAAAAGTAAGAGTATTCTGAGAGGGAAGCAGGGGTCAGGAAAGTCACTTTTCAATCTCTGTGTACCAATTTAGCTGTTGATTATTATTTTGTTGTTGTTAATCCTCACCCGAGGTTATTTTTCCATTAATTTTTTTTTAGATAGTGTGGAAGATAGATAGTTCACTGAGCCAAACCAGCCAGGGCTGTTGATTTTTTTTTTTTTTTAACCACATTCATGTATTCTCAGAAACTGTTTCTAATATTTAAGAAAGTTATGCCTTGCCCTGGCCGGTTTGGCTCAGCAGTTAGAGCATTGGCCTGTGGTCCAGAGAGACTCGGGTTTGGTTCCCACTAAGGTCATGTACCTTGGTTGCAGTTTGTCCCCAGCCCTGGTTGGGTCGTGCCGGTGGCAACCACTCGATGTGTCCCTTTCACGTTGATGTTTTTCTCTCTCTCTCTTTCTCCCACTCTATCTGAACAAAAAACAAAGCAAAACAAAAAAAGAAAGTTATATCTACATTTACATTTTATACTTGTATATATTCACTTACTTATATCTAAGCTTTCTTTTATACAGTTTATTTTATTTTTTGCATTTATCTTCAGATAGAGCAGGAGGGAGAGAAGGGGGAAAAGAGAGAGAAACATCAATGTGAGAGAGAACCAAACCCAGGACTCTGGTCCGCCGGCCAAAGCTCCAACCGCTAAGTCAAGCCAGCCAGGGCTCTTTTAAACAGTTTAGATGACATCCAGAGAAGTTTAGTGTCACGCAGTTTCCATGTGGTGTATGTGTCTTAAGATAGTCTTACTATTTCAAAATGAATGCATAAGCTGATTTGTAGACCTTGTTAATGTTAGACGTTTGCCTCTTACAACAGAATCTTTGCAGAGTTTTGGAATTTGGGGTTTGTTTGATTTCCCAGACTCCATATAGTCAAGTACTAACAATTGGTAACATTTAATCAGACAAGTGGCTAAACATTTTTGGTTACAACATTGAGAACTATTGATAGGAATAGTTTTATAAATTAAATGATAGATTATATTCTAGACTCTCTTCTCAAAACTCTCATGCTTGTGAAAAACTTATTTTTAGATTTGATAGCTCCTCAGTTCTCAGTGCAAGATTAAGTCTAGGACATTTTCAGCATGACAAAGTTATGTCAGTATCCTCATGGTTGAATTTCAGAATATTTTATAAAAATAAGCTTAATCAGTGACTTGTTTATCTCATGATGATTTTGTATTAATTTTAAATATATAATGATTAAATGTGTTTTAATTTTTAGCTTTTTGCACTGACTCCTCCTCTCTCAGACTAAGTACTCTCCACATGGTCAAGAATCACATGGCTGTTCACTATAATAAAATCCTTTCAGCCAAAGGTAAAAAATGTGCAAATGTGAACTCTCTGTACCCAATTTAAACCCTTGACTTTACTTCTAATTAGAGTAAATCTGTAGCAAAAATGAATATATTATATATATATCAGGATTTGTGTTTGGTATAGAGATATCAGCTACTGTATCTAACTTTATATACATAGCAAATTCAGAATGCTGTTTTTGTTAACTGAACTTGAAATCTGTAAGTGCCTATGTTTTCTTTTACCTGTGTAGATATTAATATTATTTTATGGTTAGGTATTGATTTTAATATAATAAAAGTTTATAATCTACTTTTTTTCAAGTATACTAAAGTTTCACAAAGAAGATGCTAACTAACTTTTTCTTTTTTGGTCAGCTTTACTGAGATATAACTTGCAGAAAATACACTAATTTTAAGTGTACAGTTAAAAATTCTGAAATATATATATATGTATGTGTGTGTGTGTGTGTGCACCACCAACCACAACCATGCTGTAAAACAGGTCAGATCCTCCTGCCACCCGTTTTTGCACAGCTTGTGAATTAAGACTTGTTCTTGTATTTTTAAATAATTGGAAAAAATCAAAAGAAGAATATTTTATAACATGAAAGTTATATGAAATTCGCATTTCATTGTCCATAAGTAAACACAATCACGTGCGTTCTTTCACATTTCGTCTATAGTGGCTTTTAGGCAGACAGGCAGAGTTAACTAGTTGTGGCACAGACTGTATCACCCCACAAAGCCTGAAACATTTACTCTGACCTTTCACAGGAAAAGTTTGCTGATCCCTGGTATAAAACATTCCATCACTCCAAAAAGTTGCCCCTAGTCTTCTGCAAGCAATCTCTTTACCGCCATCCCTGGCAACCACCGATCTGCTTTCTAACTATAGTTTTGCCTTTTCCAGAGTTTTATATAAATGGAACCATACATTATGTATCATTTTGAGTCTGGCTTCTTTCAGTCAACTAATGCTTGTGAGACTAATCTATGTTCTTGTGTATAACAGTATTTTTTCCTTCTATATTGCTAAGGTAGTATTCCATATAATGAAATATACCACAGCTTATTGATTTACCAGTTGGTGGACATTTGGGTTATTTTGACTCACTTTTGGCTATTAGGAATAAAGCTGCTATAAACATTTACATATAATCTTTAAACATGCTTCTATTTCACTGGATAGTTTTTTGTTTGTTTGTTTTGTTTGATTTGGTTAATCCTCACCCAAGGATATTTTTCCATTTATTTTTAGATAGAGTGGAAGGGAGGCAGGGGAAGGGAGACAGAGACACATCGATGTGAGAGAGACACATCAATTGGTTGCCTCTCATATAACCCCGACCAGGGCCAGGGATCAAACCAGCAACTCAGCCACATGCCCTTGACTGGGAATCAAACACTCGACTCTCTGGTCCTCTGGCTGAGTCAAACCACCCAGGGCTCACTGGATAAATTTATTTGCTAGGAGTAGAACTGTGGGGTAATTTGGTGAGTGTATTTTAACTTTATAAGAAATTTCCAAACTGTTTTCCAGAGTGACTATACCATTTTGCATTTCCGTCACTTCTGATTGGCGGTCTTTTATTGGCTGTTCTAGTGGATATTTGATAGGGCTTTAGTTTGTATTTCCCCAGCGCCTAATGATGTTGGACAACTTTTCTTGTACTTATTTGCCATCTGTATATCTTCCTTGGTGAAATATCTGTTCAAACCTTTTGCCTTTTTTTAAATGGGTTGCTTGTCTTATTAGTATTAAGTTGTGAGAGTTCTTTATTTATTAAATACAGATCCTATGCCAAATACATGTTTTGCAAATATTTTCTCCTAGTCTGTGACTTGTCTTTCCATTTTCTTTTTTAAATTTTTATTTGAAATCATTTTAGAGATAGAAAAGTTGCAAAAACTCTTCACCCAGCTTTCTCCAATGTTAAAACCTTACATAATCATATTACGTATTAAAACCAGGAAATTAATATTGATGTAATACTATTAACTACAGACCTTATTTGAATTTCACCAGTTCTTCACTAATGTATTTTTAAATTTTTTATTTTCTCATTTAAAGGGCTAATGTTTTTAAATTTTAGTTCATATTTTTTGACATTTATATTTTAAATGATTGAAAATCTAAAGAAAAATATTTTGTGACATGTGAAGTCAAGATCAGCTTTTTAATTTTTAAATATTTTATGCTTTTTATTTTTTTAATATGTTTTTTATTGATTTTTTTAGAGAGAGAGAGAGAGAAACATTGGTGAGAGAGAAACGTCAATCGACCACCTCCTGCACGCCCCCTACTGGGGATCAAGCCTGAAACCCAGGCATGTGCCCTGACCAGGAATCAAACTGGGACCTTTCAGTCCATGGGATGATGCTCAGTCCATTGAGCCACACCAGCTGGGCAAATAGTTTATGCTTTTTATATCCTGTTTAAGAAATCTTTGCCAATTTCAGGTCACTGAGATTTTATGCGTTTTCTTCTAGAAGTGTAAGTTTTAGCTCCTACATTTCAGTTTGTAATCTATTTTGAATTAGCATTTGTAGGTATGATATAAGGATCAATTTTTTACTCAAGAGTATCCAAATATAATCAGGACTGTTTGTTGAAGAGATTATTCTTTCTCTATTGAATTACCTTAGCACTTTTTGAAAGATGGTTGATCACATGCGTTAGTCTATTTCTGAATTTAACTCTAGTTCTGCTGTTATGTATGTGTATCTTCATGCAATACCACACTGCCTTAATTACTGTGGCATTACAATAAGTCTTAAAATCAGATAGTGTGGGTCCTATCTGATAGTTTAGCCCTTTGTTTTCCAGGTTTGTTTTGGGATTCCAATTACAAGTATATTAAGTGCATGATACAGGTAGGTTAGGTCAGTGATGCTTTCTATGTGTTTATTTTCCAGCCTTTCTTCACTTTGTTTTGTTTTGAGTAGTTTATATTGCTGTATTTTTAAGTTCACTAATGTTTCTTTTGTAGTATCTACTGAGCTGTTAATCCCAACGAGTGTGGTTTTTTAAATTGAGAATATTATATTTTTCATCTCTAGAATTACCATAAAAATCAAAATAAGGAACTGCAAGTTGTGTGATTTGATATTTATTGTCATTTATAAATATTAAAATTATTATTAAACAACTGATTTTTGTCTTTCAGCTGTGGTAGACTGTTCAGTTCCACTCAGCATGAGTACCAGCATCAAATGTAAGTAATTTGTTATTGTTGTTGTTGTTGTTGATTGTCACCTAAGGATATTTTTCCACTGATTTTTAGATAGAGTGGAAGGGAGGGAGGGAGAGAAAGAGAGAAAGAAACATCAATGTGAGAGAGACACATCAATTGGTTGCCTCCCCCACGACCCTAACCAGGGCCTGGGATCAAACCTGCAACCCAGGTACATGCCCTTGACCAGGAATCAAACCTGATTCAGTCCTCTGGCCAACATTCTAACTGCTGAGCCAAACCAGCCAGGGCAAATGTAAGTAATTTTTGGCATTTTGCCTTTTAAAAAAAATTATGGTAAACTACAAATAACATACATTTACCATCTTTACCATTTTTAAGTCTGTAGTTCAGCAGCATTAAGTTCATTCATGTTATCGTACAACCATCACCACTGTCCATTTTCAGTACTCCTTTTATCCTGCAAAACTGAAGCTCCATACCTATTAAATAATAACTCTCCTCTTCCCCCCCACAACCACCACTCTGTTTTCTGTCTTATGAATTTGCCTACTCTAGGTATCTCCTGTAAGTGGAATCATCCATTGTTTTCACTTTTGTGACTGGCTTATTTCATTTAGCATAATACTCTCCAGATCCCTCCATATCATCTCAAAGGATAAGAGAACTTTCTTTCTTACAGCTGCATAGTATTTTGTTGTATATATGTACCACAGCTTTTTTATCCCCTCATTTACTAATGGACACTTGGGCTGTTTCCAGATCTTAGCAATTGTAAATAGTGCTGCTATGAATATAGGAGTACATATATTCTTTCTGATTGGTGTTTCAGGCTTCTTAGGATATATTCCTAGAAGTGGGATCACTGGGTCAAATGGCAGATCAATTTTTAATTTTTGAGGAAACACCATATTGTTTTCCATAGTGGCTGCACCAGTCTGCATTTCTACCAGCAGTGTACTAGAGTCCCCTTTTCTCCACACCCTCGCCAGCACTTGTTGTGTGATGATTTGTTGATGGCAGCCATTCTGATAGGTGTGAGGCGATGATACCTCATAGTCATTTTACTTTGCATCTCTCTGATGGTTAGTGATGTTGAGCATTTTTTCATATGTCTCTTGGCCATTTGTATGTCCTGTTTAGAGAGGTGTCTATTTCGATCCTGTGCCCATTTTTTATTTTATTTTTTGAGTATGTTTTCTTTATTGACCCTAGAGAGAGGAAGGGATGGGGGGTAGGGAGAATCATCGACGGGAGAAAACATTGGCCACCTCCCGCGTGCTCCCCACTGGGGACAGGGCCCACAACCTCAACATGTGCCCTGAGCAAGAATCGAACCAGCGACCTCCTGGTGCATGGTCAACGCTCAGCCAGTGAGCCACACCAGCCGGGCCTCTGCCCACTTATTAATTGGATTCTTTGTCTTCCTTTTGTTGAATTGTAAGAGTACTCTATATAATTTTGGATATTAACCCCTTATCTGATGTATCGTTGGCAGTTATGGTCTCCCATAGAGTGGGTTCCCTTACCATTTTGATGCTTGTTTCTTTTGCTGTGTAGAAGCTTTTGAGTTTGATGTAGTCTCATTTATTAATTTTTTCTTTTGTTTCTCCTGCCTTAGGCATCGTATGAGTGAAAAAATTCTGCTGCATGTCATGTCTGAAATTTTGTTGCCTATATTTTCTTCTAGGATTTTTATGGATTCATGAGTCGTATTTAAGCATTTTATACATTTTGAGTTTATTCTTGTGTATGGTGTAAGTTAGTGGTCTAGCTTCATTTTTTTTGCATGTTGCTGTCCAAGTTTCCCAACACCATTTATTAAAGAGGCTGTCTTTACTCCATTGTATGCTCCTGCTACCTTTGTCAAATAATTGAGCATAATGTCTTGGGTCAAATTCCACATTCTCTGTTGTGTTCCATTGATCTATATGCCTGTTCTTGTGCCAGTACCAGGCTGTTTTGATTACAGTGTCTTTGTAGTATAACCTGATACCCGGTATTGTGATCTCTCCTACTTTGTTTTTCTTTTTCAAGATGGCTGTAGCTATTCGGGGTCATTTTTGTTTCCATATAAACTTTTGGAGTATTTGTTCTAGTTTCGTGAAGTATGTCGTTGGTATTTTAATGAGGATTGCATTGAATCTATAGATTGCTTTGGGTAGCATGGATTTTAATGATGTTAATTCTTCCAATCCATGAACAAAATATATGCTTCTACTTTTTTATATCTTCCTCTATTTTGTTTTTCAATGTCCTGTAGTTTTTTGTGAACAGGTCCTTTACTTCTTTGGTTGAATTGTAAGACTTAGATACCTAAGTTTATTTTAGGTATCTTAGTTTTTTGCTGCAATGGTAAATGGGATTGTTCTGTTTTTCTTAATCTTGAATATATTAATCCTCTTATTCAACCAAACTCTTGGATTTTAAATCCATATCCACCAATTTAAAATAATCAGGCATTTTGCATAATATTTATTATGCAAAGTTCAGTAGTTTATTCAGTGATTAATTCAGCAGATATTTGTTGGGCACTTACTATATGCTAAAGGCACTTACTTTATATATACGCTATATAAAGAGGTGAACAAAACAAAGTACCTATTTTATAGAGCTTACATTCTAGTTAAGGTGACAAATAATAAGCAAATGCAAATAAGTAAATATAGAGCATGTCAGATGGTGATAAGTGCAGTGGCAAAAATATGAAGCACAGGATGAGGGAGATTGGGCATCCTTGGAGGAAAAGGAATCACTGATAAGATGATTAATTCCACAGAGACCTGAAACAGTTAATGGAGCGGCAAATGGGTGTCTGGAGGAAGAGCAGTCCAGACAGAGGAAACAGCAAGTGCGAAAGCCTTGAGATGGCATCCTGATTGGTGTATTTAGGGAACAGCATGGAGTGCTATTTAGCTGGTGTAAAATAAGCCAGTTGAATAGTGATAGGAGATGAGGTTGTTAAGATGGGACACAGAGATGCAGACCATGTAAGGCTATGGCCATTGCATGCACTTTGGCTTTTTCTCTGAATGAAATTGGAAGCCATTCGATGGGTAACAGAGCCATTTTAACTTTTAAAGGAATCTCTCTGGCTACTGAATTGAATATCTCTGGCTACTGAATTGAAAATAGTCTGTAAGAGTCCATGGCAGAAACAGGATGAGTAGTTAGGAGACAGTAATCCAGATGAGAAATAATGGTGACTTGGACCAAAGGTGTTGCAGTAGAGGGAGTGTGAAATGGTTGGATTCTGTAAACATTTCAAATGTGTGTCAGAAACTTCAGAGGGAAGGGTGATGAGGGTGTTGGGAAGAGATAAGCCAGAGAACTTACATGCGTATATGCATAACCAATGAACACAGACAATAGTTTGGCAAACGCAGGAGGGGGATAAAAGCGGGGAGGAGGGGGTCAATGGGGGAAAAATGGGAGGACATCTGTAATAATTTCAAATGAATGGCATTAAAAGATATAGAAATTCAATATCCTGATTGAAAATGTTTAAAAATTTAATATCATCTTTTTGAAGTTGTATAAAACTTAAAACTTAAGTTTTATCATAGCATGTGATGGTATTGACAATGTTTCATTTGGAGGAAAGTCTAATAGACTAATTCAAATTCTGCAGTTAGTGATTACAGAATCACAAACAACATGGTCAAGCATTTCTAACCTTCATATCTCTGAATATCTGCTAGGAATTGCTCTCTTGACCCCTTAGGTTTGGCCAGTTTGTCATATCTTGTTTGTGCTCTGTAAATAGTTAATCCGCTTAAAGTTTCTATGAATTTAGTATTTATTATTTTAGCTTTTCTTTTTAAGAAAAGTATATGGATTTTTATTTACACAACAGCGGTGTGAACATTTTTAGCAAAGAAGAGAATGTATGCCTTATTAGTCTTCCAAGACCCACAAATTAAGTTTTCTATTTTATTCTATATTTTAAAAGATTCGTTTTCCCCATCAGATGCAGACCAACAACGAAGAGAGAAACTCAAAAAGGAATTAGCACAATGTGGAAGGGAGTTGAAATTAACTAAAACGCCAGTGCAGGCCAATTCTAAAAATAATTCTGAGTCATTATCTAACACTCTACAAAAGGTAAGATGGTATTTTTACCTTTTACAAGTAGATATGAGCTACTTCATCAGTGGTACAACCTGACTTTTTGGTAACATGTTTCCTATAGGTCAGAGTCTCAATAAACTTTTCCTGTAAAGAACCAAATAGTAGGTATTTTAGGTTTTTCAAGCTATACAGTTTCTGTCACAACGATCTGCCATTTGAAGGCAGCCATGGATGATACGTAAGTGAATGGGCCTACCTGCGTTCCAGTAAAACTTTATTAAAAAAGAAAACAAGCCCTGGCCAGTTTGGCTCAGCAGTTAGAGCGCTGGCCTGAGGTCCAGAGAGACCCAGGTTCGGTTCCCGCTAATGGTGCGTACCTCGGTTGCAGTTTGTCCCCGGCCCTGGTTGGTCATCATGCAGGTGGCAGCCACTTGATGTGTCCCTTTCATGTCGATGTTTCTTTCTCTCTTCCTCTCTCTCCCTCCCACTCTATCTGAACAAAAAATGGAAAAATGTCCTCGGGTGAGGATAAAACAAAACAAAACAGGATGCACAGTTAGTCTATAAGCTGTAGTTTGCTGAACCAGGGTTTTTTGTGATTTTATTTAACATGTGATTAAGTTCTCTTCTAGTCCTAGTTTGCTAAGAGGATTTCTTTCCCATGAATGTAACATTCATGTTAATTTTATCAAATGCTTTTCTGCATTTTTTAAATATTATGATTTTTCTTTTTAATCTGTTAATGTAGGGAATTACAGTTGAATTTCTAATGTTAAACTAACTTTGCATCCCTACAATGAATACAACTTTCTCATTACCTTTTTTTATACATCTCTGGATACAGTTGCTAATATTTTGCTTAGAATTTTAATATCTATGTTTATTATTGATGTTGACCTGTCACTTTTCCTTTTTCTACTATGTCAGGATATGCTAGCCTCATAAAATAAATTGAGCACTGTTTCCTTTTTTTCTATGCTTTAGAATAGTTTCTGTAAATTTCTTCAAATTTTATGGAATCAAAGCATTAAAATTATCTGGGTCTAGAGTTTTCTTTGAGATGATTTTTAATTACTGATTCAATTTTTTAACTCTTTATGTAACTTTTTTAAGTTGTCTGTGTCATCTAAATTTTTTAATTGGGGTATAGACTTAGTCATAATATTCTCTTATTCTCTCTTAAATATGTGTTATTTCCCCATTTTTATTCCTAATATGTTTTATTTCTGCCTTTATTCTTGGGTATTTTCATTTGTCATTTTTATTAATCTTTTTAAAGGGCACACTTTTTACTTTGTTAATCATCTCTATTGTATTTTGTCTTCTACTTCGTTAATGTCCACATTTTATTTTCCTCTTTAGATTTTTTTTAGTTTATTCTTATATACTTTTTCTACTTTTGTTTACCTTATTTTCAATCTCACTTCTTTCATAGGATAAGCATTTTCAAGGCTATAAATTTTCCTCCAAGTGCTACTTTACCTTCATCCCACAAGTTTTGATAGGTTTTATTATGGTTCAATTCAAACTATTTCATAGTTTTTATTATAATTTATTTTTTAATTCTGGAATTATTTAGGAGTATTTATTATCTCTATTGTTTCTTAGGCTTTCTTTTGTTACAGATTTCTGGCCTGTTGTATAAGGAAATATCTATATGACACCCATTTCTTAAAATGTGTTAAGGCTTGTTTTATGGCCCAGTAGGTGGACAGGTTTTTTTTTAATTCACTATACCATTATGTGTTTGAAAGTAAAATGTATTCTATAGTTGTTTTGTGCAACATTTAATATATAGTGTATTCACTAGATTAAACTGCATATCATTGAGGTGTTCAAATCTTACTGATTTTTTTGTCTGATTAATTTATCATTCATTAAGAGAAATCTTTCACATGATTATATATTTAGCTTTTCCTCCAAAATTTAATACTACCAACTTTTCATTTATATATTTTAAGTCTATATACATAGATTTAGAAATGATATATTTTCTTAGTGAATCAAGCCTCTTATCACTGTGCTTGATTCTTATCACTGTGAATCAAGCCTCTTACCCTAATGCTATTTGTAATAGTTTTCTGATAGTGATGTAATTAAACCAACTGTCTTTTGATTAGCATTCTTTTGGTATATCTTTTTTCCATTTTTTAATCCTAATGTGTAAGGGAGGTCCCAAAGATTTAGGTGGGTCAGATTATTTACTCTAATAATCTTTGTCTCGTAAGTGAAGCATTTAGTGTGTTTTATTTCTGCCTTCTTATCTTGTACTGTCTATTTGACCCACAGTAGTAAGCAGAATTCTAAGATGACACCCCCCCATAATAGTCCACAACATTAAACAATACCCTCCTCTTGAATGTAGGCAGGACCTGTAACTTGTGTTCAGTAGAATTTGGCAAAGTGATGGAAAGCACTTCCATGATTATGTTACATGGCAAAAGTGAAGGGAATTTGCCCCTGTACATTAAGGTTTTGGTTTCTTAAGAGAGAAAGGGAAAATGGGTCTGGGAGAAGTTTCTGCAATGGTGTCTGTAGAAATGGCTTTCCTCTCCGAGTCACACCAAGGAAAGAAGGGAAAGGGGAAGCTTTCTCAGGGCTCTACCTGCTCTTTCCTGTGAGCTCCTGGTGGGGTTCCTGGAGGAAATGCTGTAGGAGTGTACACACTCCCAGGTCTCAGGGGCTTCACACTCTCGCACTAGTCTGCAGTCAATCTTCAGCTCTTAGCTAGATCTTCCAGCATAACCTTCCTGCCAGTTAATGTACACTCAGTGTCTCCTGTCCCAGGTAAGCAAATCTCGGACCCTGTTTCTCTCTGCAGGTGCCAGTCCCTCCAGGTTTCAGGTCAGTTGTTTGCTCTGTGACTCTAGTTCTGTCATTAGTTCAAGAAAAATTATTAATTTGCAGTTTGTCCAGTTTTACTCCTGTTGCAATGGTGAAAGCTAGACTCTTTCCATCTTTCTCCATCTCTCAGCTGAAACTGGAAGTCTGGTTTATTTTTATGTATCATGGTTTCTTCTCTAAACTTTTTAATTCTGAAATTTTTAGCATCTATAAAAATAGTCATGTAATGAACCCACATGTTCTTATCCCCCAGATGCAACAATGATCAGACTTATTTTACCTATATTCTCACTTACTATCCCCCCAGACTATTTATGCAAATCTCAGATCTATAATTTCATCCATAATTATTTCCATATCTGAAAGATACACCACAATGCCATTAAAAATTCATAATTCTTTTTTATACGTTTATACTGATTTTTTTAGAGAGAGAAGAAGGAAGAGATAGAAACATTGATGTGAGATACATCAATCAGCCGCCTCCTACATGCCCCCTCCTGGGGATCGAGTGCACAAGCAGGGCATGTGCCCCAATCAGGAATCCAATTGGGACCTCTCAATCAATGGGATGATGCTCAATCCACTGAACCATACCAACTGGACAAAATTAATAATTCTTTAATATCAACTATCCACTGTTCAGATTTTCCTTTTGTCTTATGTATTTTAGTTTGTTAGAATTAAGAGCTAAATAATTTCAACTAATCAATAAATTTTTAATCTGTAGCTTCTCCTTTCTCCACCTTTTTATACCCCTATAATTTATGTATTAGACTAAACCAAGTCATTCGTCTTAGCTTGAGGTTTTTGTGAACCATCTGGGTAATGCAAATTTAGGCTGCAAGCTTGTATGGGGCCAGCGTATGATTTCAGATTCTCAGAGGCGCGTGTTCCCTTTCCACTCAGTGCCAGTGTTCAAGATGGGCAAGTTTCTTTGCAAGTCATCTAGTTGAGGTGTGGCCATTGAGAGATCCCAGATTCATGAGCATAGTCTCCCAGACTGTCCAAATCTCCCTGAGCTTTGTGTTCTGTCTCCCAGCACCCTGTTGTGATAAAAACGATTACCTGTTAATAAAAGCCAGTTTCACTGCTCTGCTTACTCGGTTTCACATATCATATTTTGATTCTAGCTCTTTCCATTGTACATATCAGTGGGCAGGGGAACGACTAAGACCATTTGTACCATAATAATTAATCCAATTTTTTTCTTTGAGAAGTATGGGGAGCCATAGACCAGTTTTTAATTGAAATGTCATGTCATCATACTGACACTTGACAAAGGCTACACTGGCAGGAGGGAAAGACAGACTAATTGTGACAGTTGCAATAATCTGGGGAAGAAATTATTAAGACCTGAGCTAAGAGCAGAAAGGAACACAAGGAATATATTTAGGAAATATTCACAAAGTGGAATTTCCCAGGATTTAGTGCCTGATTTAATGATGTGAAGAGCAAGAGGCCAAATTAAAGAGGTTCTCAGGTTTCTAGCTTGGGCAGCTGGGAAGATGGTGATACATCATTCACTAAAGAAGGTAACAGGACAAGGTGCACTCTTTTCTTTGGGGGGCAGATAATGTAAGGTATGAATTTGCTTTTTAGGCATGCTTGATTTGAGCTGCCTTGGGAACATCTAATATAGTTGGTAGAGAGTTGATACAAGCATTTCTGCCAGGCTGAAAATAGACGTGGAAGTCATCAGGAAAGCTGTGATATGCTTAAGAGCCCCCAGGGCTGTTATATAGATAAAAGGACCAGGCACAGAACTTCTTCCTTTAGAATAAATGTACCAGATGCTATAATATAATTTGCCATCAGGGAATCTGGTCATCAATATTTGACTCACATGTACAGTTTCATTTTTAGTGATTGGACTTTTTAATTGAAAATTTAAAATATTTTTCTGTGATCCAGCATTTTGAATATAAATTAATAATTGTATTTTGAAATAAGAATGGGTTTTGTTGAAAATAAAATGTATAATTAAATCTATAAATGTAAGGTATTTTTTATTTACTTTTACTTTAGCCACTGTAAACCTATATGCATTTGCCTCCATAAAATAGTTCACTTATGCTTTAATATGGGTATACGTTTTACTTCATTTAGAATTCACAGTAACTTGAAGTTGCCTACATTTTTCTAAGCCTTGATGATAAATATATAGACACATTCAAATTTGAATTATTTTAGGCATAATATTTTGTTTTTGTTGTTAATCCTCACCCAAGGATATTTTTCCATTGATTTTTTTTTGACAGAAGAGAAGGGAGGGGGTTGGGGAAGAGAGAGAGAGAGAGAGAGAAACATCAATGTGCGAGAGACACATCGATTGCTTGCTTCCTGCAGCACCCCAACTGGGCCCAGGATTGAACCTGCAACCCAGGTATGTGCCCTTGACTGTGAATCGAACCCAAGACCCTTCAGTCCATGGGCCAATGCTCTAACTGCTGAGCCAAACTGGCCAGGGCTGAGTATAATATTTTTTAAATTGGCTGGATTTTATGATTTATGGACACCTATTACAGCTATAACCTACGTTTACTAAAAGGTTCGCTACAGTTAAAAAGAAAATTCTGTCTGGCTAGTGTGGCTCAGTGGGTTGAGCATCATCCCATGGACTGAGAGGTCCCAGTTCAATTCCTAGTCAGGGCACATGCCAGGGTTGCAGGCTCAGTTCCCAATGGGAGCATACAGGAGGCAGCCGATCAATGTTTCTCTTTCACATGTTTCTATCTCTCTCTCCCTTCCTTTCTATCTAAAAAAAATCAATAAAAACATATTTAAGGAAAAAAACTATGTGGCCTGGCCAGTATGGCTCAATTCCCAGCCAGGGCACATGCCCAGGTTGTGGGCCCAATCCCCAGTGAGGGGGCATGCAGGAGGCAGCCAGTCGATGTTCTCTCTCATCGATGTTTCTCTCTCCCTATTCCTTCCCCTCTCTCTAAAATCAATAAAGAAAAACAAATTAAAAAAAAAAGAAAATGCTAACTTTAGCCTCTGTGCATATTGGCTGTTTATGTACATAAGATCATATAATGAAAAATCTTTTAATCACCCATACTCTCATGCTACTTCCTTTCTCACACCAACTCGCATGCTGTCACCTCAGGACCTCCTGTGCCTGTCCCGTCTGCACCTTGACCCCGCCAGCAATTCCTTGCTTATCACAGCACTGGTGAAGATTAAGATTAAATAATATGTGGATGGGATCCATATTCCTAAATAAATCTATTTTAAAAGCAGTATAAAACAATGAAAATCAAGAGCCGTTTCTTTTTTAAAAAGCAGATTGTTATAATTGATTTCAAACTGTGTTCTAGTGGTATCCAAGGAAAGAAAAAGTATGATAAAAGTTAGGGACTATGAGCCCTTGGCCAGTTTGGCTCAGCGGTTAGAGCATCAGCCCACAGACCAATGAGTCGTGGGTTCGATTCCGGTCAAGGGCACATACCTCAGTTGTGATTTGTCCCCGGCCCTGGTTGGGGTCGTGTGGGAGGCAGCCACTCGATGTGTCCCTTTCACATTGATATTTCTCTCTCACTCTCTCTCTCCCTTCCACTCTTATCTGAACAAAAATAGAAAAATGTCCTCAGATGAGGATGGAAAAAAAAAAAGCTAGGGACTATGAAACATAAAAGTACACAAAAGTCTTACGGCTTCAGTCAGTTCGAAGCCATTTTTCCAGCCCATTTCAGACAAATGAGAGTAAGTTTCTGCCTTTAAAGACTTTCTTTGGTGTTTCATTTGTTTATTAAATAACCATTATTGACAAGAATTTTCTTATAGGCATTCTAATGCCTTATGCATTTCTGCCTGCTCTGATCTCAGATTTTACTGTGCCTCCAAGTTTAAATACTTTGTGACTTTTCTTTAATAGCCCTAAAGAGTTCTTCAGATCATACTTAGAAATTTCTTCCCAGGGAGCTAAACTCTTCTGGTAAATAAGCTGCAGTATGGGTGTAGTTGGGAGTACTTTTTAAAACTAACATATTAAAGTCGTTAATGAAATAGTATCCTAGTGACTCAGACTTTAATGACACATTTTGTACTTGCTTTTGAGTAATTTTGCCTTGGATTTGGGATAGGGTTAGAAAGCACTTGGAAAGGAAAGAAGTAACTTGACCTATTTTAGGCAATTGTCACAATATCCAGTTACCTGCAGTTTCCTTACTTAGATAAATCAGTACTTAGGCTGACTTGTTCACTATCAGGAAAAGCGTTAAAATCAGTTTAAGATTTCTGGTGGTATAAAACAATCTAAAAAGATACGGTTTTTTATTTTTATTTTTTTTTGTTCAGGTAGAGTGGGAGGGAGAGAGAAGAACAGAGAGAGAGAGAGAAACATCGATGTGAAAGGAACACATCGAGTGGCTGCCACCCGCACAACCGACCAGGGTCGGGACAAACTGCAACCGAGGTACGTGCCCTTAGCGGGAACCGAACCCGGGTCTCTCAGGACCGCAGGCCGACGCTCTAACCGCTGAACCAAACTGGCCAGGGCAAGATACGGTTTTTTAAAATATGTTTTTATTGATTCCAGACAGGAAGGGAGAGGGAAAGAGAGAGAGAAACATCAAAGAGAAACATCAGTTGGCTGCCTCCTGCATGCCCCCTCCTGGGGATCAAGCCCAAACCCCAGGCATGTGCCCTGACCAGGCATGGAACCAGTGACCTCCTGGTGCATGGGCTGACACTCAGCCAACTGAGCCACACTGACTGGGCTAAAAATACATGATTTTTAAATTAGTTCTTAAAATAGATAATATGATGTAATGGTGAAGCACGTAGGCTCAGCCTGGGTTCAAATCCATGAGACCCTGTGCCTGGGTTTCTTCTTCTATAAAATAGAGATAATGATTATACCACCACCTAGAAGGTGATGTGACAATTTAATGAGCTGTACATGTAAGTCAATTAGAACAGTACCTTGCCATAGCAAACACTATATTTATTAGTAGCAGTGATAGAAGTTATTCTTCTTTTATTCTACTCTCTGGTAAGAACAATACCTTGCACAAAGGAAGCACTTGGCCCTTCCCTTACTCCTCTTGTTTTCACCATGAGCCTTACAGGACAGATATAACTGGCTAAATCCTAACCATTTGCACCTCGGTTTCCGTAACTTTCCCTCTACGTAATAAAGTTACTCAGAGCTCTGTAAGGGATACACAGGTGTACATAAAGTCTGGAATCACAGACAGGGCATTGGGGACATCTAATCTGTAAAAGAATACATTTTGTGTTTTTAGACTTTATAGATATCCCGCAGAAATGGTTCTTCCAATGTTAAACCAAAGAAAATTGGAGGGAGCAGTCAGAAACACCTTCCTTTTCAAAGCTCTCCCCACTTGTGAGGAGAACTTTTTATGGAATAAGTATTTCTTAATGATATTTAAAATATCCGTTCCTTAAATCAAGGCTCCATACATTGTGAGTTTTCCTTTTTTCAAAGCGTTCAAGTTACAGGGCCAACTGCTGGCACTGAAGGTTGTCCTAGTGGCAAGAGGGGCAGAGAGGGTGCAGTAACTGTGGTTGAGAAGGGGATTGGGACCCACAACTGATTTGGAAACTTACAGATAAAACTGAGATCTACCAGTAGATCTCAATACACAAGTCAGGAGCGCAAATATAGGTATATGTTGTTAATCATTTTTAGCTTCAGAAAGAAAAATTATTGCTATTAACATATTTAGAATTATATTTTCATATATTAATACTTCAAAAACTTGAATAGAACTTTATGTGCAATGCTAATATCTTTAGGAACATGTAAGTTAATTTTGTAGACTCCTGAAGCAACCATTTTTTATGTTTATGAATTTGCAAATGTAATTGATGACTATCAAATCCAATGTTCTTAGCCTGCAGAAGAACCACAAAATGAAGATGACATGTTATTCAAAGAAGTGAATGGATATTTGTCCTTTACAAGGTCACCAGTAACTTTAGGGCAACTACACATAACTCTACCTAAATCCAGTAAAGTCCTCGCAGATGGTGTTGAGAAGAACTCCAGTTCCCTCCTGTCCATAGATTGTGCCAGCTCCAGGCCCAGGAAAACGTGCTCTGCAACCTCGTATGGCAGAAGGCCCAGGAGCACATTCCCAAAGTCCCACCGATCTCAGTTAGCTATTTCAAAAGCAACCAGTGGGGACCTTTTGGATAAACATTCTAAACTCTTTTCCAATAGACATTTGCCATTCACTCCACGCACTTTGAAAACAGAAGCAAAATCTTTTCTGTCACAGTATCGATATTATACACCTGCCAAAAAAAGAAAGGATTTTACAGATCAGCGGGTTGAAGCTGAAACCCAGACGGAATTAAGCAGGTACGGCACATCAACAGCCGATAGTAAATACTTCAGGATGTTGCAGAAATTAAATAATGTTCCTTATTTTACATCATATAGTTTATGTGCCTTTTGAATGGAATGACATGACTGTGACTTTTCCTCTTACATCTATCATTTAGTAATTGTTGAAAAACCAAGTAGCTGTTAAACTTGTCAAGCTCCTTATGTACATGAATGTTACCTATTTTAATTTATTATTTTCAACATGGTACTAGAACTTGTGTGTGTTTTTAAATATTATACTTCCAGAGAATCCTTAAAATATGTCATCAAACAGCATTTGTGTAAATATGACTATTGCCTGTGATAAAAATGGCAGAACAGTGGGTTAAAGAGGGGGGAGAAACAACTACCCCTGTGCTCCCTTTTCAGCAACAAGTCCCCAGGTACGATTTAGAGAATTGGGATCATTTCTAGAAGTTAAGTGTAATTTGCCTCAATAATGTTTTCATCAACAATGGTGCCTGGCACATAATGAATATCCAGCAAAAGTTTGCCGAGTGATTGGGAAAACAAATCTTATAAAGTATTGAATATAAACTGATTTGTGATTATTTATCCTATATTTTATAAACAAATATATATCAGGTACTAGGTTTTAGTTTTTTTAGAAAGTAAAAAGCAATTTATGACTAGTATTCTTTTCTCTAGGTAAATACAAGAGGTACAGTAATATCAAATAAGTCTGTATTCATTTAATCAAAGAATTAAGGAATTGAATCTGTGATAGAACTTTTCAAGTGAGGAAGAAATAAGGAAAGCTTGTACAGTATATCATGCTTTTCTGATTATATTTGTGACAGCTTTTAAAGATAATAGTTCTCATTTCCCTAGACTCATTCTGTTTAAGTGAAATTTAGCTGCTATTCAAAAAAAGGGGTGGGGGGAATATAGGTAATCCAAACCACATCTATTTCCTGATTATATAATTAGAAATAATTCATTTTATAAGAATAGATGGATTTCATGTCCTATGTTTAAGTTTATTTTATCATAGTGTTTGTATTTTGAAGGTTTAACAATATATTTTTAAAATATTACAGCTTTAAATCTGATTTTGAGGCAGTTGAGACTAAGGACTCCACAGATTCAGAAGTGAACATAAAGCAGGTAACAAAAATAAGATCTCTGTGCTCCACATTGGAATTATAGCTGCTCTAACTTAATAGATTGTGTATAGTTATTTGGGCTGTGAAGAGTGTTCTCTTGGTGACACTTTTGCATATGATCTAGCCAGTATACAGAAGATTTGTCTATTTACTGTCTGGGAATAGCCAGATGGATCCTGCCAATTTGGGAAATCATGTGTTATTAGCATCTCTTCTAGGTGGTTGGTTGGCTGGCTAGATAGCTGAGTAGGTGAACAAAATACCTTAAATTTTGTTTTCAGAATATAGACTTGAGTTACTAAAGGAGCCAGAAAAGTTGTGCAAAAGTATTTTTGTTTTTATGCCTATGTATCTATAAAGAATTGCGATAGATTATATTATTGAATACATTATATAAGAATGGATAGCTGTATCATTCTTTTATGTTTGCTCTCACTTTTTTTCTATGCCATCAAGGTCTTTTTTACAGTGTTTATATTTGGAATGCTTAGAAATCATTTCTTTTAATATATCACTACTTCAATTTTGAGGTAAAGTTATTGTTTTTATTTGAGGATATAATATATAATATATAATTGTGTCCTAATTTAAATTTATTGTTTGTTAAAAGGTTTGTCTGTTAAAATGTCAGGACACAGATTCAGGGATAGAACAATAAAATATAATCACATTCAACTTCTCTCTTTCCTTTTTAAAATGGGTAGAGGATTTTAGGTTTCCTCCTCAGCCACTAAAAGCTGTTTGACATAGGGCCCTGCAGCTGTTTGCACATCTAGGAAAACTGTACTTAGTGCAGGATTGTTGGAAGGAGTAAATGATGTAGGTAAAGTGCCTAGCCCAGTCAGGGCTCAAAAAAGTTGGCCATGACTAGCTTGAGATTTAGGAAGAGAGTTAGCTCTGTAGGTAACTAAATAAACTGAATCAGAATAAGTCCATTTTAATGACAGCATGCTCCAAATGTTTTTCCACAATCCTAAGAAAATGGTGTGTCTCCACATTCCAAAGTCAGTACCACCAGCTTTCTACTTAAGGAAGCTAGTTGGGGTATTAGGCACTTTTAAAACTGTACAGCACTGTACATAAACTTGCATTGTAAAGATTAAATCTTATAATGCAAGTAAATGCTTGGCAGAGTGTGTGGCCCATAGCAAGGATTCTACAAAAGTGAGCTGCCAGTAGTCTATGCCTTGTTATTGCTCATACGGCCACGGCCACCACTGCTGCTACATGTTTGATATGTTGGCATTGGAAACAGATGGGTTGTTTGAATTTCTGAGTAAGAGATGTTTTCTCAAATTTACCTAAAACTTGCATATTTGCTTCATTTTCTCTTTATGTTTATTTGTACTGATTTCTTAGTGCCATTTAAAATGCCCCTCATTAAAATATAAGAAATAAGAAGTTGGCAAATGTATTCTAAAACATCCTTTGTCATAATATAACTGTCACTTTTATTTACTGGATATCTCTACTCTCTTAACCTGACTTATGCAATTTGCTGTTTTGCTTTATTTCTGCCTTTACATTGTATTTTTTAAGCAAAATATTTATTTTTGTCATTGCATCCCCAGGCATCTAGTTGTATGACATATGAAACCAAAGAAAGCATAACTCCTTTACTTTTACAAGGGAATGGCTTACCATGGGATGAGATTAATGATGGAATTCTTCAGTGTTCCCCAGCAAGGTAAGCAGCTTACAGGAGAAACCTTTCAGCTGTCTTCATCTAACCGTGGCCCTGTACAGCCGACATGTAGTATTCGCAACATAGGAGTACTGTTTAATTACATTCTGGTGTTATATAATTCAACAGGCAGCGCTAGTTTTGCTAAGAAAATTTTGCAAAGTATGCACTCAGTAAATGTTTATATGAATTCATTTTGCTAATTCATTAATAAGGAGGGGCAGTGGCTTATATTATTTGCCATCACTATTTATGTGAAAAAGAATTTTCCCCAAGACAAATCCTCTCAGTGATGCTAACCAGTTTACATGGCAGAAATAGTTCTGAACACCTTATTATTTGAGGATTCATAATTTGATTTGAATACTCACCATATGCTGGTGCTTGATCTATTCGTGCTATGTAGATGCACTATTTTTAAAAACTACTCATCATGTTTAGTGAATATGAAATACTGCACCTAAGTTTTTTAAAGCTTAGCCTGTAGTATAGAACCTAAAAAATGCCTTTGATGGTTTCAGCTGTCCGATGCATTTCTGGTGTCAGAGACTGAATGTGAGATGAAGGAGGTGGAAGAATAAAGGTCTAGAGATTTACAAAGAGGCCAAGAATGAGGTGCTGCTTAGCAGACCAGAAGGCAGGCACCCAGCCCCTCAGGGCACAGCTCATCCCTCCGGCCTCTCCTAGGGCGGCCCCACGGCAAGGCTGCAGGGCGCATCGCTACCCTGTCTGGAAATTCATGGTGCTTCTTTCTTAAGATTTGTAAACTGCTCTTAAGCCAGTCTGCAATGAATATAAGGAATCACCCAAAAAGGGAATATTTATTTTTTCTAGTAATTTTATCTAAAAGTAGTAAAATATTATAATAGAGTATACCTGAATAGAATGCTTAGACTTAACTAATGAGGATATAACTGAATGACAAAATTTATCATTGCCAGCTTAAACATTTTTTCCATAGGGAAATATCTGTTTTCAGCATTACTTATATGTTAATCTTAGTCAAATTGTTATTATTTATACTAGGTAATTGCTATTGTACAGTTTTTAAAAGGATTGTGAATTTGTAATTAGAAGAATAGGTAGAAAGTCTGTCTTTGCTACTTACTTGGCCTTTCTGCCCCCTGATAAACTCATTAGTAAGTAAGAAAAATAATACCTACCTAATATGCCTAACAGAATTTCTCTGAAGATTGGATTAGATCATGGATATGAAACATATTATTACTAATATACAATATTATTGAACAGTTACTGTATGCCAACCTTTTTTTTTTCAATCTTCACCTGAGGATATGTTTTTAATGATTTTTAGAGAGAGAGAAAGAAAGAAAGAAACATCAGTCAGTTGCCTCCCATACATGCCCCGACCAGACACCAAACCTGAAACCTTGGTATGTATCCTGACCGGGAATTGAACCCACAACCTTTTTTAACATGGGACAGGTGTTCCAACCAACTGAGCCACCCAGCCAGGGTGCCAACCGTTGTTCAAATATTTTAATTTTCTCTTTTCAGGGTAGTATGTCAGTGTTCCGTGCAGCCTCCTTCAAGGAGAAAAATCTATTCTGAGTAAGATCTTTCTCACCTTTTAATTTTGCTTAGTGGAAAACAAGAATTAAGAATCACACAAACTAATTTAGGATTGAACACTAATCTCTCTTACAAACAGCTTTGGGGTTCAGTCATCTAATACATGCTAACTTTGAGAAAATGACTAAAATTTTCTGAAATAATTAACAATCACTTCACCTTTATGTCCAGTGAAATGTGTCCCTAAGTTAATAATATCTGCTATTTTTTTTATAATTACTACCCATAATTCTTATATAGTTTTATAAGTAAAAATAATAGTTTTTGAGAAATTCAAACTTTTAGTAGCTCAGGACAGCCTTCCTAGAGGTTTCCAACCTCACCAGTTCTTTGTAGATATTATACTTCTGGGTTTTAATTATGCTCCATTGGTGGGGGAGGGGGATCATCGATAGGGGTGGGCAAGTGGTTTTACAGTTGTGACTATGAGAAACAGTTTATTCTTGTATTATTATTTAAATAATTATTAGTTTTGCCCTGGCCAGTTTTGATCAGTGTCGGCCTGAGGACCAAAGGGTCTCGGGTTTGTTTCTGATCAAGGGGGCACGTATCTGGGTTGCAGGTTCGATCCCCAGTCCCAGTTGGGGTCGTGCGAGAAACAACCAATCGATGTGTCTCTCTCATGTTGATATTTCTCTCTCTCTGTCTCTCTCCCTCCCTCCCTCACTTCCTTCCACCCTCTCTAAAAAAAATCATTGGCAAAATATCCTCAGGTGAGGATTAACAAAAAGATTTTTAAAAAATTATAATTTTCATATGAACAACTGTAACCTACTTTTGCCCATGCCTATATTTTTAGTCTCATTTATTCTCAAACTTGATATTTAAATATTAGAGACTGTGAAGCAGTTTGAAAGTGTAACTTTTTATACATTTAATCTTCTGTTATCTGGTTTGCTTATTAACTCCTCCCTTACATTTACTTATTTGATCATTGTTTACACTTACTAAATGTTATTCACATTTTCTATCAGTTCACTAATTGAACTAATTAAAATCAAAGTTATAACAGTATCCTAATTTTCTTATAATAGCTACCAAAATATACTCTTATAATGTAATAAATATGTTCAAGTAATTTAAAATACCACTGTATTTTTGTACATACATTTTTATATTAGAACACTTTCCTCCTCCAAATATTTTAAGAACGTATGTTTTCTGCTCAGTAAATTTCCCAACCTTAAAACAAGACGCTCTCCCAGGAGCAGGAGCTCTCACAGTGGCAGCCTGCTTCCCAGGACGGCTGCTCTCCCCTCTGCACGTGCCCTGCTGCTGGGCATGGCAGGAGCCCAAGGGCGTGTGAGGCCTCGTCAGGAGCACACGCCCGCATGGGTCACATTCGGTTGCCCTTGCCCGTGGTTGGTGTCTGTTTTGTTCCCTTTAATCCCTGCTTATTATTTACTGCTGGATGGATGTCACAGACATCTGTGAAATTTTACTTTATTAGGGAATATTTTCTCATCTTTAATATTTATCCTTGCATAGTTTCAGAAAGTTGACATTTGTTTTATAATACTCCTCTTAATGATATGAGACAGAGTATATTTGTAATAAATAGTGGAGGTATTTCTAATTAAGTATTCGTATTTCCTGTCATTTTCAGAGTAAGTAATGACTAATTTTGTGCTATCTATTGCTTTGCCTTCACAGTGAGGAAGAACTGTTGTATCTGAGTTTCATTGAAGATGTAACGGATGAAATTTTGAAACTTGGTTTATTTTCAAACAGGTTAGATTTTTTTAAAATAATGGTGGTTGAAGAACACATTAAATACTCTTCATTTGGTATTAATTTTTAAGTTAATTTTCCATATTAGGAAATGAGAAATTATATTGCTTTCTTGGGGGACCAAACGCTTATAATTGATAGCAAATTGTAAAGAATGTTTAATTCATACTTTAGTCAGTCTCACAGTTTGGGGGAGTTTTTGAAAAACTAGAGATTTTATTCATCTAAATACCATTATATTTTTTGGTTATAACAGAATAGTAAAATAAAAATTTTGCTTTTTATTTGCAAAGATCCATAATCCCATTTTGCTATTTGAAACTATGGTGAGATTCAAAAGCAAGCATTTTGGTTACAATGGCTACTAATAAAGTGAGGACTAATTAAAAGCTAGGTTTGCATACTGTAAATGAAATGGGAAGTTTGCAAAACGAGATTAGGTATTACATATCGAAGGAAACTGTGTGGTCCTGAATCAGCTTGAATGGTAGCTATTTATCTAAAATTCATTGGGCACTGAGACAGACTTTGTGATGTAGTACAAGACCCCATTATGTACACTACATGCATAGAAAATTGCCTAGGAGTGAATATTCCAAAACATCAACAGCCACTGTAAAATGTAGACTATGGATTTCTTGGGCTTTTAAAAATAGTTAAATTATTCAGAACCACTGACTATAAAGTTGGCTTATAGCTTCATTGTAATAGCAAATGATAACAAAGGAAATGTTGTTTTTTAAGAAACCTATTGATACATTCATGTGATAGAAAACATGGATGTGTCGTTGAAAGAATAAACTCTGGCATGAGATACCTCGGTTAAATTCTGTTAATATGGCTTGTGACCTCAGGGGAGAGGAAATCATTGTCTCAGAGATGTAGTTTTCTCATCTTTAGATTTTTTTTACAATGCTTTTCTCTTCCATTATTGGTCATGATAAGAGGTATGATTATTATTATTTGCCTAGCACTTAATCGAACTTAGTAAGTGATAACTTTTATGTTATATGGATTTACCATCTGAAATTTTTTTTCAAGTATACCTTAGGAAGCATCATAAAATAACTCCTTTTATAAAATAATTTTCTTTAGAGTTTGATTTATGGGGTTAGTGTTTATGTGAGAGAGAAGGGAGGCTTATGGTGTTTGCATGTGTGTGTGAGAGAAAGATAGCGCTTTTTAGCAGGGTGGGGGGGTGAGTGAGAGAAGGAATTTTTGGACCTCATTTATGCGGCCCTGGCCGGTTTGGCTCAGCAGTTAGAGCATCGGCCCATGGACCAAAGTATCATGGGTCCGATTCCAGTCAAGGGCACATACCTTGGTTGCAGTTCATCCCCAGCCCTGGTCGGGGTTGTGTGGGAAGCAACCAGTCATGTGTCCCTCTCACGTCGATGTTTCCCTCTCTCCCTCCCTCTCTCCCACTCTATCTGAAGAAAAATGGAAAAATATCCTCGGGTGAGGATAAAAAATAAAACAAATAAAAATACAAACTAAAATCTTTTATGCAGTCTTTCAGAAACATTGGCATCCATTATGCTGACTTACACACATAGTGGAAGCCATACTAGCTTCCATATTGGAGAACTTGACAGAACAGGGAAGGACTGGTCTTTAACTTTGGAAAGAAAAAGAGTCATCCAAAAAACATTTCCAGCCTTTAGTAGTTTAGTTACTGCGTGGCTACTTTACATTTAGTTGATTTTCTGATGGAGACATTAACATTTTTATTTATCATTTATAGGTCTTTGGAACGACTGTTTGAGCGACATATAAGACAAAATAAACATTTGGAGGAGGTTTGTGTTTCCTTAGAACTGCATTAGAAAAATTCTAATATACAAAGAATTTTTAAGTTTGTCCATACCCTCAGAGAATGCGTTACAAGTGCTTTTTCCCCGTGTGTGTTGTGTGCACTTAGGAGCGGGGTGGAAAGAGAAGCACTGACCCTGCCGAGATCAGCAGCACTGCAGACGAAAGTAATTCAGTGGATCTAGCCCAGTTCACGTCATCATTCTTGTCTTTTTCTTAATCCTAGGGGAAAATGCGCCACCTCCTGCATATCCTAAAGGTGAATTTAGGCTGCAAACCCAAGGGAAGCTCAGCGAAGCTAGATGACATTGCTACATTGAATTTACTTGATTTTGAAGAGGCTGATGACTCGGAACAAGATGAACAACATGCGGCAGTTCAGCAGGAGCGTCAAGAGTACCGAAAGGCTCTGGACCTGTTACTCTCTGCACCCAAGGATGACAGCGAGAGGTTCTCACCAAATGACTTTTTCCTACCTGTCTGTAAATCCAAGTATTCAGAAGGGGTTATAATTCAGCAAGTGAATGATGAAACGAATCTTGGACCTTCCATTTGTGATGAAAAAAATCCAAGTATTTCAGACAGCGCCAGAGACCAAGAGACATCTGTGACCGTCATTGAAAGCGACAGCGACACTGAAAAGGCTGAGGCTCCACGTGACTTGTGTCCGCGCAGCACCGCGCTCTCCCAGCCTGGTCCGCTCTGCAGTGTCAGCCAGGACAGCAGCCAGCTCCTAAAATCCTAAAATGAGCATTGAGGACTGCCCTTTGGATGTGTGATCTTCATCAATAAATATCCAAATGGCCAGTAATTCACTCTTCTTTTTCCTTTTTCTTTTATATATTAAAATTTTCTGTATATATTTTCTATGCTGTATAATAAATTACCATAAGTTTAGCAGCTTAAAACAAAACATGTATTATTTACCCCAGTCTCTGGGGATAGAGGGTGTGAACACGGCTTAGTTGGGTCCTCTGCCCTGGGTTTTACAAGGCTGCATACCAGGTGTCAGTCTGGGAAGAACCTGCTTCCAAACTCTTCAGGTTGTTGGCCCGATTCCTTTTCTTGCAGCGTCAGATCTGAAAACTTCAGTTTCTCACTCACTTGGCCATTGGCTGCTCTCAGGTCTTAGAAGCTGCCCACCGTTCCCGGCCACGCAGCCTTCTCCACAGGCAGTTCACGGACGGCTGCTCGCTGCTTCAGAGTCTTGGAGTGACTTTCCTTCATCTTTGACAGGCTCCTTTGGTTAGAAGCATGCCACAGTCCCACCTACTCCTCTTAGAGGGAGGTAGGAATCACTGGGGTCACCTTCGGACCTGTTGGCCACAACTTCTGAAGTTGTTTTTCAGCAGACCACAGTTTATACAGACGACGTTGTGCAGGCAATGGGACGTGCTTTACAGTCTGGCCTTGCTCTTGAAACATTTAGCCTGGTCTACGGAATCTGTCATTTCTTTTTTTCTCACTTTCTTGTAATATGTAGAGCTTCAAGGCCTTTCTAGTTGCCAGCGAGCTAGAACAGTCTGTCCGCTACCTGGAAAAGTATCCCTCCTCGTGAGGGCGAATACTCTGTCAGACACCCCCCCCCCCCTTACCGTTGTAGCTCATGAATGGGATCCTTAATACTCGGATGGGCAAAAGCAGGTTTACAGTTGGGAGTACACAAAAGATAGAGTTAATAAAGCTACTGTAATCATCATAACCTGCACATCTTTTTCCACACAAACAACTGTAAACCTTAATCTGCCCACCCCTGTGTATGTCTCAGAAGATTCATCTCTAGTTATGTCTTTTCAACCACTTACATTATGTAATTGAATATCTGAGTGCCTGTTACAAAGCTGGATGCCTAGGTGCTGTGGAGGATAAAAAAGATGAAGCACAATAATGACCCAAATGTTCTAGGAACTTAGCAATGGCTTCCAAGTATGCCATTTTTTAATTCAGGCTTTTTATGATCCTTTGCCCTCACCAATGTTTCCCAAAAGGTGGTGCATACCACTGGCGGTATTAGAGCCCATCTCCGGTGATGTACGGATGGCAGACCTCTCGCTCAGGGGAACCTGACCATCACCACCAAGTTCGGGAGTCAGGCTCAGGGACAGACTGCCAAGTGCAGTGTGGTGGGGTCGTGCCCTCAGCCCTCTCCTCCAGGGTCTTATGCCCCAAGTCACCCTGCTGCAGCCCTTCCTCGGTCCCCACTGACCCCTCAGGTCTCACGTCTGGGGTTCTTCCCCTTAACCCTTTCCCTATCTTGCAATTCCCTTAACCTCCTAAAATGTCCCCAAACCTATTCTTGGCTCCCAGCCTATAATATTGTTTACAACCCAGTCATTCTTCACCTCTCCATGTGCTTCTTGGACTTCATCCTTCCCTCGGCCCGCAGGGCGCCTTCCTTCAGTCCCAGCCTCACTCTGACAGACCCCTCACCTCGTTCTCCTGGGGCCGGCCGCTCACTGCCCTGCTCACCGATGCCTGTCGCTGGAGCTGCCGTCTTGCTTACGCATTCTCAGTAACTACCTTCCTGCTCCCCGGCATTCTCAGTAACTACCTTCCTGCTCCCCGTTTGGGCCCAGCCCCAGCCCCTCTGCCTGCCCTGCTCTGACGTGTCCGCCACTCTGGGGCCATGGTTCTTCCTGCCTCTTGTACCTGCTCAGGTAATTTTGTTGTTATCCTCAGGTTTCCCCTTTAAAATGAGGTTTAAAAAGATGAGTTGGTTGAAGAAATCTCTGAAGTGGATCTTGGATATGGTGAAGTTGTGTAAAGGTAGAAAGTGAATGGTACGTTTAAGAAACACTGGCTTAACCTGGCCGGTGTGGCTCAGTGGTTGAGCATCATCCCATGCACTAAGAGGTCGCTGGTTCGATTCCCAGGCACATGCCCAGGTTGTGGACCCGATCCCCAGTGGGGGGCACGCAGGAGGCGGCCAATCAATGTTCTCTCTCATCTATGTTTCTATCTCTCCCTCTCCCTTCCTCTCTAAAATCAATATAGAAAAAAATATATATTTAAAAAAAAAAAAAAAAGAGCTCTGGCCGGTTTGGCTCAGCAGTTAGAGCGTCAGCCTGCAGTCTGGAGAGACCCGGGTTCGGTTCCTGCTAAGGGCATGTACCTCGGGTGAGGTTTGTCCCCGGCCCTGGTTGGGTCCTGCGGGTGGCAGCCACTCAATGTGTCCCTTTCACGTTGATTTCACGTTGATGTTTCTCTCTCTCTCTGTGTCTGTCTCTTCCTCTCTCTCCCTCCCACTCTATCTGAACAAAAAATGGAAAAGAATGTCCTTGGGTGAGGATAAAAAAAAAAAGAAACACTGGCTTAGACTCTTCAAGCAGCATCTTAATTTCTATCGCTCCCTCTGCTTATTCCCACAGCCTCTGAGACCTGATGCTCGGAGGCGTGATGACAGCCTTGCCAGCCAGCTCGCTGGGTTTGACTCAGGAGCTGTGACCTTACGCTGAGTTACTGAGCCTCTGTGCTCCCCGGTTTGTTGAATGGGGGTAATTACAGAGCCTTCATCACAGGGCTGCAGCAATTAAATATAGGTCATATGGGAATTAAATATAGGCTGCTGCTATTACTTTAAAGCAGACTATGCCAGTCCCTTTTTTAAAAATAAACAATCTTTCAGAGCTTCCTCTTGCTAAGAAGATAGCAGGCCCTTTGCATGTGTTACAGTCATGTTTTCCTTCCGGCTCATCTCTCGCCATCCTCTCCCAGCCATCCTAAGTGTCCATCACATCTGCTTGTTCGTTCCCTAACCGTGCAGAGGGCCCTCATTATGCCTTTGTATTTCCTGTCTGCTCAGAATAGCATTTCCCCTCTTCTGCTCTCTTTTTCTAAATATTCTATTTTTCAATTACAATTTACATTCAATACTATTCCGTATTGGTTTCAGGTGTGCAGCACAGTGGTTAGACAATCATATGCTTTACAAAGTGCTCCCCCCCCATATTTCCAGTACCCATCTGGCACCACATCACAGTATTGTTGACTATTTTCCCTGTGCTGTACTTTACACCCCACGACTATATTGTAACTGCCAACCTGTACTTCTCAACCCCTTCACCTTTTCACCCAGTCCTTCAACCCCCCGCTGTCTGCCACCCTCGAGCCTTCATTGATACCCCACCTTGAATGTGACACTGAAACCTTGAGTGACTGTCCCTACTTTTATCCTGTCAGCTCTGGGATCCGGGATCGTTCATCTACAATATGAATTATAATATTGTTTACATACCCAGTTTGTCTTCTGTCTAGACTACAGGCTTCTCAAGAGAAGCACTTACTTCTTGGACCCCCAGACCCTGTCTGGTTGAGAATGAATGTATTTGTTCCTGAAGGGAGGGGAGGTTTAGCTAAAGGCCAGGTTATGGGGAAAAAGGCAAAAGTTTCCTCTTCTCTTTACACTCAGAAAGTAGATTTCCCATGTTGAAGGGAGACTGTACCAAATGGCTAGTTACATGACAATTTACTCATTTGCTCACATTTTAAATAATGTAAAATAAAATTAGCATCTTCCTGAGAAGCCTTACTTTTTATTTTTAGTCCTCACCTGAGGATATTTTTCTATTTATCATCATAAAGAGTGGGAGGGAGGAGAGAGGAGGAGAGGGACACATGGACTGGTTGCCTCCCACACGACCCAACCAGGGCCAGTGATGAACCACCACTGAGGCACATGCCCTTGACTAGAACTGAGCCTGTGACTCATTGGTCCCCTGGCAGACGCTCTACCGCTGAGCCAAGCCGGCCAGGGCTGAGAAGCCTTCATTTAACAAGCACATTTTTTTTTCCCAGTGAAGCCAATCAGAAAAGATCAGAGCAACTTTTATGGGGCAAGAGGACAACTTGCAAAGTAGATGAATTAGCTGTATGGTCACCAATAAATTACTTTACCCTGGGCCTTCCTTGGTTTAAGAGTTTGGACTAGATGATGCAAACATTTATTTTCTATCATTCTTAGGGTCTTTAGAAGTTAAAGTTGAAAAATGTACATCTAGAAGTAGAAACCCCTCCCCTATTTTTCCCTTGTGCTAGTCTAGTCGGGGAAAGCAACCTGCTACATTGATTCACACCTCATATTCACCTAGTTCTTTCAAGATCTTACAAACAGGTGAGTTTGCCATCAAGATTTTCCTGAGAGCAAATATATACTGTTTCATTGTTTTCTACTGCTGCCATAATGTTACCACAAACACAGTGGCGGGGGCGGGGGGGGGGGGGTTACCTTACCGTTCTAGAAGTCAAAAATCCTAAAATCAAGACGTTGCCTGGGCTGCATTCTTCTTGGAGGCCCAGGAGAGAATCTGCTCAGTGCCTTGTCCGGCTTCTAGAGGCTGCCTGCATCCCTCACCTGTGGTCCTGCCCGTCAAGTCCAGCTGTGTAGCATCTTCAACTCTCTCGCGCCTCCGCTTCTGTCGTCACACCTCTCCTCACGGTGGCCCTCCTGCCTCCCTCTTCCAAAGATCCTTGTGATGACTTCGGGCCCACCTAGAAAACCCAAGCCCATCTCCCCATCTCAAGGACCTTGGTTACACCTGCGAAGTCCCTTTTGCCACGTAAGATAACACGCACAGCTTCAGAGCCCTGGACATCTTTGGGGCCCATTATCTAGCCTACCACAACTGCAGTATCGTTAACCTAATAAAAATTGCCTAAACTGTAGTGCCTATCAGTTACAGCCTGGCTATGTAATGAATGCCAACTTAAGATCTATATTGAATATCTACAGCTTATTACATTACTAAAGGAGTGGTTCTCA